CTTCTACTTCAGAAGCTAAAAAGAGTTGCTTTTGTTTCTCTCAGGCCTCCAGGTGCAACAAAAAGCTTGGAACTCAGTTTCACCATACGTTTTAGACCTCCAAGTCCACCAAGTCTATGATCAAATCCTGCACACAATGAGGGGCACACCCACTTGTCAGAATGTGGGGATTTCTGCTAGCCTTCGCTTCTTTATAGGACATTTTACATTTTTGGGTCCAGATGCATGTATCCAGGTACTACAAAATCCCTGCAAAGTTTTGTGGGCCTTCCTGTTGGTCAAGCACAGCTCCTCTCCCAAGGAGTCATAACCATTCCAGAAAAGGTGATGTTTCAAGGTTTTTATTTCAATCATTTTACCATCCCCAAAGAAAAAGCATCTGCCCCATACTGGATGTAAAAGTTTTCAACACTTACCTCTGCTTACAAAAATGTTGCCTTTATGGCCTCTTTGGAAATCTAGGATGTCTATTTGCAGTGCTGTGTTTTGTTGTTGGCACACAACATTACCAGTTTGTTGAACTTGCCTTTGGCTTGTCCACTGCACCTAGAGTCTTCGCCAAGGTTCTTGTCCTGTTTTTGTTCTGCTTCACTCTCAGGGCATCTCCATAATGGGATATCTGGATGGCCTTTTTCTGAGGATACACTTGATTTAGCCTCTGTCAGCCAACATCCAAAGGACTGTGTAGACTGTTGATATTTGAAGACTAAGGATCCTCCTGAATTTCTGCAATTGAACTCTTTCATCCCTTGCTGTATCTGGGCTTGAGCTTAGCCATGGCTGTGTCCAAGATTTTCCTTCCCCTGAACAAATTCCAACCAACCAACCAACCAACCCTCTTGTTTTTGTATGAGGATCTTGTGCCTAATGGTGGGAATGTGTCCTCAGTACAAGGGACTTGATCATCAAAGGAAGCTTGGCTCACAATCAGTATTCTGGAACTCAGCATAACTCGGTTGCCCCTTCAATTCTGGACCTGGACGAGTTCAACCAACCAACTTTGGTGCCCTTGTATGGACACATGCCAAAGTTTTTAGCTAAATATGAACATGTGTTCATATAAGGGCACTGACATCACCAGCACCGTACCACTTTGTTTATGCTTGCAGTGACTTGAAAGAAAAAAAAAAGCATGGTCTAGAAGTTTAGAAAAAAATTATTTCACAGGATACCCTAACTCATCTCTAATAGTAAACCATCAGCTTCTAACTTCAGCTTGTTCAGTTAAGCTTTTAAAATGAAGGCTAGAAAATGGTTGTTTTCCATTCACAGCTGATCCAGATTCTTGCTACTGTAGTCTTAGTAAACCCCCCTCATAAAATGTTATTCCTGACTTTTACTGTACATGTGAAGTTGATTCCTTCTCTCTCTCCAACCTCCATATTGGTCAGTGAAGCCACACATCACATTAAAGAACTAATCGGATGGTTCTTGTAGTGTTTTTTCTTGATAAAATGCTAGGTAATTTTCCTCTAAGATATTGACAAACAAATCAGTCTTGAGTGGACTTATCCCTTGCAAGATTTTCCGTTACAGTAAAGTCTTTCAACAAATGATGGCAATTAAGTCAATGGAATTGTTACTTGTTTCAGTAATAGTGTTCTGCAAACATTTCCACCAAACACATTGTTGTCCTTCATGCACCTTGCTGTAGGAGCCTAATAAATGGACTGAAGAACACTTCATCAAAATCCTGAACCCTTCCTGCTAGATAATCATCTAATCAACACAAGATAAATACCTGTTCAAAATCAATGATGCTGTAACTGAGAGCAAGGGCAGATGTATAATAACAAGGAATAAATCACATGAGGATATATAAATTAAAGGACCTGGTACTTTGTAAAACTATGACAGCTGGTTGCTGTTTATTGCAGATGCAGGGGTCACACACAAAACTGTCAGCAAGCATTTGATAAATGAGAGGCAGTCTGCTTTGTACTAATTGTTTGTCAGATTCTATCAGAAGCCTGTGTGTAGGTCCACTATACTAAACATTCCTGACAGAGACTGAGGGATTTGTCACCATAGCAGTAGTTATGGGACCTAGAAACTGGTCGAGGACCCTGAAGTGAAGAGTAGTGGGCTGCAGAAATCTCTCTTTTGTGAACCCTAGGATCCAGGATACTCTGCAGAGTATCAACAGATACCCAATGATTGTGTAACACACTGCATCATTACTTATTGCAGATTGTTAAATGGCCACAAGATGGCAGTGCTCTGCAATTTAAGTAGGGAAACAAACTTGTATACAGCAATGCTAAGAATGCTGGGACTTGTTTTCTGCAAGCAGGATTTCTTTGTACAGTTTAGTTGACAGAGAACTACAGTTCCCAAGAGAGTGAGCAAAGGGGCGGGAGCATATAAAAAGGAAAGCCTGGGAGCCCAGAGTGGAGAGGAAAGAGACTGTGAGAGGCTGAGGACATGTGTGAGAAGGCAGTGCAGGAATTAGAGGACCCAGGACAGATTGGGTCACCCCGGAGAGCCGAAAAGAGGGACTGCAGATCGCTGGTAGAGACAGGAGAGTCGATCCTGCAGGCAGGCGGATTGTGGTATCGCCATTGCTTCTTTCACAGAGGGGCCGAGAAAACAAAGGAACCTCCCAACTGAGAGACCATCATTGATCATTGTATGATTACAAATTTCATATGTTTATTATATTTCTTACACTGAATGTATAATGTATTTGGTTTGTACTTTTAATTAACTAAGTGCTGCACTTTTTGTTATATACTCTGCTTCAGTTCAATACAGTTTGCATCACAGTTTGCCACTTTGAGACACAGACTTCCTAGCCCATTCACTACTGCAGGCTACTTCTTTAGTGTCTTCCCATTGTTCTGAATGCAGAACTTTTGCTACAGCACACGTTATCCTGCAGGCAGGAATACTGTCAGTATCCTATCTCAAACCTCTTCCATCTGTAAATGAACTTGCTTCATCAGGCTAATTCAGAACCTACATGGATTCGATTTTGCTGAAGTCTAATCCTGCCCCTTTCTCATCTTTAACAATTCTTATCTTCTGTGTTAAAGGGTCTTTCCCTATTTTCTCACCATCAGTCCAGGGGAAACTTTTCTTGTTGCTGTACGAATTTCAGGTTATCCTGTTACCATTCAAAAGGACCTCAACTCTGATGTGCATCAACTAGCTGTCAGGAACCATGAACCAAGCGGAGACAGAAAGTGCAGTTAAAATCACACCTTTAATATAAAAACAAATATAACATAGATCAGGAACGTAGTCAAAACAGAAGCCAGGGATTGGATGCCTGCGAGGGTAATCAGATGAGCCAGAGTCAGGAAACTAGAAGTCAGCATAGTCAGGAGCCAAAAATCAGGAACAGGAATCAAAAGCCAGCCATACCGAGTTGCACACAGGAACACAGGCAAGAACAGACTGGAGATCATAGAGCACGCAAGGGCAAGGAGGAAATTAACTAAGCTGCTAAAATAGCAAAATGAACTGGTTGTAGGCTAGACTAATGAGGCAGGTAATGGTATCCAGGTTAGTCACTGTGGAGACAACGAGTAGCTGGTAATGAACCGACAGCTGAGCAGCTTCTCAGTAAAGAAAAGACTTTCTTGTTAAGTAGCAAGAGCCCAGCCCTGCCACTGCGGCCCCAGCAAGCGCACAGAAAAGTCTGTTTCTATACTTGGGAGTGATACTAAAGGGGAGATGATTGCATACAAATTCACTTTGAGAGTTAAACCCTGTTTCTAGTCATTGAGAGCCCATAAGTCAGTTTGCCTAACTTCTCTTTATACTCTATCTCAGGGCTGGAATTAATGTTTAAACTCTGGCCCTTTAGGGCAATTGGGACTATTTAAAAGTGGTACTGTGTATATCCATTTTAGCTAAGTTTTCCAAAGTGATTATCTTTTGTACACACCTACTATTGTTCTTTTGTACTTGCATTACTTTACTCTAACTTCAGTACAATCAGAGCATTTGTTCACTTTGAACTGTGTAATTATTCTGTGCTTCACAGTCAGAGGGATCTTATGGTCAAGGTTATACTGTGGTGTCAGCAAGGCTGTTCTCCAAATCAGGCTCAGTGAACAGGGGACCCAAAATACTCAGCGGCTCCTAAAGGGGTAGCGCTACTTTTGCATTCTAAGTGTTCCAATTTCAGGCACTGCTCCATCAGTCATTACTGTATGGAGTGGCGTTGTAAATCAGTAGATCTCATCCATCCTTGTGATCTGTCACATCAATGGAGTGTGGATGAAGGGGAGTTTCACTTTGAACTCCAGTAGGGCTGACAGCAGGTCTGAACAGTAAATTGTAATTGAACATACCCATGCAAGTTCTACTTTGCCCACTTCCTCTAAAGCCCCCTACAGTAAAGTGCACCAAGACCTGCAAAGTGATCCTCCACCCCCTCCTTCTCACAAAGCACCTTGCCAGCCACAGAAGCCCTGTCCCACCACGGTGCTTCCCTGTAAACCCTCCCAGCCCTCCACAGTGCTATGATAGGCTGAACCATAAGACTCCTGTAGGGCCACCAAGCCTGTCTCAGGACTTTTCTCCACCCTGAAAGCCCCACAGCCTTCTGCAGAATCCTCAGCCACTCATAGTGCCCCCAAGCCTGCTGCAAGGCTCCCATCCATGAACAAAGCCCCACAGCCTTCTATGAAACCCCCAGACCCTCATAAAGCCCCAAAGCCTGCCCCAGGGCTCCCCACCACTCACAAAGTCCCACATTTCCTCTTACTGATGATCATCTAACCCTTTAAAGATACATTGTCATTGCAGTGTTAGAGACATCAATCAAATCTTCACAATCTCACACTATGACACTCTTGGGTGTGTTGGATGTCTGCATTTGCCTAGGATGGCACTTTTCAGGGTGGCGGCTGCCGCCCCCCTCTTTCCCAATTCCATGGGAAAGGGACAGGGGCTGCTGTGTCTTACCTGTCTCTGCGACTCCGTGTCCCACTTCGCATCCCACTTCGGTCCACAAGGCGCTGCTGGAGGAGGAGTGGAGAGGGTCTCACTGACACCAATGAGAGGTCACTTTTCCTCCCACTGACACCAATGATGGGGCACTATTCCTTCCACTGACACCAATGATGGGGCACTTTTCCCCCCACTGAAACCAATGATGGGACACTATTCCCCCACTGACACCAATGATGGGGCACTTTTCCTCCCACTGACACCAATGATGGGGCATTTTTTCCTCCCACTGACATCAATGATGGGGCACTATTCCTCCCACTGACACCAATGATGGGGCACTTTTCCTCCCACTGACACCAATGATGAGGCGCTTTTCCTTCCACTGACACCAATGATGGGGCACTTTTCCTCCCACTAACACCAATCAGGGGGCTCTTTTCCTCCTATTGATACCAATGTTGGGGCACTATTCCTCCTACTACTACCAATAACGGGGGAACTATTCCTCCCACTGACACCAATGATGGGGCACTATTCCTCCCACTGACACTAATGATGAGGCACTATTCTTCCCACACTGACACTAATTATGGGGCACTATTCCCCCCACTGACATAAATGATGGGGCACTATTACTCCCACACTGACACAAATGATGGGGCACTATTCCTCCTACACTGACACTAATGATGGGGCACCATCGTTGGTGTCAGTGGGAGGAATAGTGCCCCATCATTGGTATCAGTGTGGAAGTAATATTACCACATCATTGGTGTCAGTGGGAGGAATAGTGACCCATCATTGGTATCAGTGAGAGGAATAGAGCCCCACCGTTGTTGTCTGTGGGAGGAATAGTGCCCCAATGTTGGTGTCAGTGAGAGGAATAGTGCCCCAACGTTTTTGTCAGTGGCATCACTGCCTATAACCAAATTGCTAACAGAGTAGGTTGACTGTTAACCCTACATGTCTAGGTGGTCAGTTTTGGGTGGATAAACTCAGAGTGGGCAAATTGTTTCTTTCAGCCGCTGCCTTATCATGCACTGTGCTTCTTTGACATTTGATAATGTGATACTGATGCTAGGCAGTCAAAAGGTGAAGTTACACTTTATTAGTACACATGATCAGAAAATTGTACAAAAAAATACCACTCAAAGTGATCGTATGATAATCTGATCATTAGTTCACAGTTTTCGTTATTATTAAAATTATTTGAAAGGACAAGCACAAAAATATTTCTTGTACAATACCTGATTGTACGATTTCCGTTTAATCAATACAGATTTTGTCCAGAAATACATTACAAATACCTTGCATCACTTCTGAATTTTTATTCTGTCATACAAGAATTTTCATAACTTTAGTAACCTCTTCACTTTCGATTTGAGACTAGCATGCAAAAAAAACGGACGATCATTTGTCCGATATTCTCATAATGTGTACAGAGCTTAAAGTGATACTAAACCCAGGACCCTAAATTCACTATATCTGGTCTCCCAAAATACACACAACGTGGAAATGCAATTATTTTAGTAAATATAAACTGCTAAATACCTTTTCTCATCAGCAGTTAGAGTAGTCTTGTGACTTCAATAGAGCACTGGTTAAAGCTTGTAGGAGGAGTTTTATTTCTGCTCTAGGAGGATGTGAAACCTCTGAACCTCTGTCTGGACAGTGCTGATTGGCCCTGTGCTGATCACATGCACCCTTCCAAGATAATAAAAACAACCTCTCTAGCAATACACACCAAATTGAGCATGTGCATGTGACTACGGGTTCAGTCTGTATCAGGTGGTCATTTCAACAAGAGGAGTGGCAGAGAAGAAAGGATCAAACAGCCTTTTTACACAACGCAGAGGATTAACCCCTTAGGTTCCACAGTGAGTATAACAAGCATGCTTTACTGCATATACAGACTGATTTTACTGTTGTGGGTTTAGTAACACTTTAAGGTTTGTGTTTGTACATTAGAGGTTCCAATTCTAAACTTTCTTATGTAAGTGAACACATCCTTTCAGTTTGGTGGTCGATAAAGATCAATTGTATATGGCAGCTGCAGATTTTCAAATGATGGCTATGTATCCTATTGAGCAAGACATTTTTCTCCCACTTTCCTTTAACAAAGCAACCAACAGAGCAATAATCCAATTTCACTGGATAAAAGTTTGGGAAGCAGTCTATTATCCTTTCCTCATGGGGGAAATCACTCAAGCAAAGATACGCAGTATCATCAAGGAAAAAGGCAATAAAGCTCTATTAAATGTAATTATCTGATATCAGTCATCAGTTACTCCTGCTTCAACATTCTATATTACATTGAACAACGCATTTATTTTGCTTTTAGAAGCTGCCTTCACTGATGTATGACATAAGCAGATATCATACAGACAGGCGAGCATCTCTAGTTAAAAGAATTAAAGATAAGTCAGTCTGGCTGTACAATAATTGCTGAGAATGACATGGAGACTCTGCTGCTAATACTTATTTGCTCTAATCATCCTGGAGCAGACATTGTTACCTGCAATAAGAATTCTTAAGTTGAAGATTTTCTTGCCTTGCCTAAATTGAATCTGCTATGTGTGAAGCAAAAGTCACAGAATGTTAATGGATGTAGATGTTTTCAACCCCACACAGAAGAAAGCAGCACACAATTGGGAGCTCTTTACTTTGCTGTTTGCTTGAAGACCGCATGTAAAATTTCAGAATGGCTGCCCCCACTCTGAGCTTAGTCTACTGTGATATTTAAGAGCATGTAAATATATCTACAGTGCTCAGCATAAATGAGAACACTCCTTTTGAAAAGTAAGCTTTTAATCAATATGTCAATGAACACAAGAACAATTTCTAAAATGTTGACAAAACTGAGTTTTATAGAACATTTGTTCAGCTCATAACATGAAAGTAAGGTTAATATTATAACTTCAATTACAAGATCTTCAGTTTTACTCAAATTAGTTGATGCAAAAATAAATACACCCCACAACAAAAACTAATACTTCTAGTATTTTGTATGACTTTCATGATTTGTAAGGACAGCAGCAAGTTTTCTAGGCATGGAATGAACAAGTTGGTGACATATTGCAACATAGATCTTTTTCCATTCTTCTAGAACAACCTCTCTTAGAGCCTGGATGCTGAATGGAGAGTGATGCTCAACTTGTCTCTTCAGAATTCCCCATAGGTGTTTGATTTGGGTTCAGATCAGGAGACATACTTGGCCACTGAATCACTGTTCTTCTTCGGAAATGCAACAGTGGTCTTGGATGCAGGTTTTGAAAAATTGTCATGTTGGAAAAGTGCACAACGACTAAGGGCATGGAGTGATGGTAGCATCTTCTAATTCAATATAGAGCAGTACATCTGTGAAACCATCAATGAAATCCTGCTCCCCAATACCAGCAGCCTCACAGAAGGACACTGCCACCACCATGTTTCACTGTAGGCACCATGCATTTTTCTTTGTACTCCTCACCTTCGCAACACCATACAGCTTTAAAGCCATTAGTTCCAAAAACATTTTTCTTGGTCTAATCACTCCAGAGTACAAAGTCCCAATAATCTTCTTTTTCAGCATGGGCCCTCACAAATAAGGGGCAGGCTTTTTTGTGCATGGGCTTTAGGAGAAGCTTCCTTCGTGGATGACACCCATGCATGCCATTCCTCTGCAGTGTACACTGTATTGTGTCATGGGAAACAATCACCCCAGTTTAGCATTCTACTTCTTTAGCTAACTGCAGTGAACTTGCATGGGGATTTTCTTCAACTCTTCTCATCAGAAGACACTCCTTTCGAAGTGTTAACTTCCATGGACAGCCTGGATGTCTCTGTGAGATGGTTTTAGTTCCATCTTTAGTAAAATCTTGTGTCACTTTTGCTACAGTATTCTGACTGATAAGTAAATCTTTGCTGATCTTCTTGTAGCTTTAACCTTTCTTCTTGTGTAAAGAAAATATTTTCTATCTCAGGTCTTGTGACATTTCTCTTCCATGTGGTGCCATTGCTGACAGCATAAAATGAGAAGCGGTTTTCTTTAATAAGTATTGCCCTTTTAAAATCAACTGTCTGCTGGAAACCTGTTTAATCAATAATTAGACTCATTTATAGTTGAATTCATGTTAATTAGAATTTTGTTGTGTAAATTTTAGCTTTGCTCCTTAGACTTTCATTGGGGTGTATTTATTTTTGCAACATGGTCTTGAATTAATTTGTTAGGAAAAATACTTTTTTGTGGGTGCAAATTAACAAATCTTGTTTGCAATCAATGGCCCGTATTTGTCTGAGTATTTTGTAGTATAGTGTCCCATAGAAAATGAAATAAAAGTAAAGGTTTTCTGACAAATCTAATATATATACTAAATAAATAAATAGTATATATATTTTTTTTTGTATAAAAAGAACAGATGAACTTGCAGGCTTTGGGAACGAGCCATGGTTTTATAATCCCAACAGCACTTAAAGTGCATCTGAACTTAAAAGCAAGCAGATGGCAAAGGTCTAATTATTGCCTGTAGCCTCCCTGCAGCAGATATTTTCCCCAGTGCTTAGTTATCATGCCTTTTTCTAAACGGTATCCGTGTATGGATATGGCCATCTTGGTATTGGATGGGGCTTTCAAATATTATGTCTCTAATAGCAAGCACACGTAGAAAAAAACTGTACTTGTATTAGACTACTTCTCTTCAGTTGAGTAGGCCAATCCTGGAAAAAGATGTACAGTTCCTATGTTGCCACTAAGTTTCTACTATACTGCTTTGTGTAAGCCATGCTTTCAAATAGAGTAAAGGAGTGGAAAAGATAAACTTTATGGGGATGATTTACAAAAGGCAAATAGACTGTTGCACTCTGCAAGTGCAATTGCATTAATTTTTCTTTTGCAAATGTGGCAAAGCTTCACTTTGTAAAGGATACCCAATCCAGTGCAAGGAAAATTAAAAACATATATTTTGCTTGCAGAGATGACTGGATGATGGAAATCAGCAGAGCTCTACCACATTTACTAAGCTCTGGGGAAATGGGTGGAATGGCACTTGCAAAGTGTGCAGTCTATTTGCCATTAGTAAATCAACCCCTGAGATCTTCCATTATAAAGAATAGAGTAAGCAATGTTGACTGTTAATAATTGTGCATACAAATTATATTCATATACAAATAACAGTGTTGACTGGAAATAATAGGACACTTCATATGTTACTTTAGAATAACATCCCACGTTCCCATTAGATTTTATTTCTTTTATAAAGTCTGACTTTTTAACGACCATGCAAGAAATGGGGGGAGGGGTAAGAGTGGTTGATTGCCACAAGGGCAAGAATGCATGGACAGCAATAAAAACGTCAGAAGTTGTAACCCTTCCATTTTTTACAAATTGTTAGTTATATGGCTGTATCACCAGTGCAAGTTAT